GCTTATGGACTTCTCGGATTTGTTCCCGCAGAACCTCCGACGACTGTCCGAACTTCCGTCGAGCTCTTGAACTCCCAACGTGATCATTGTCATGACTCCGGCGCAACTCCTGCTGCATGTCTTACTTTCATCGTAGTTAATCCTGCACACTTATCTCAACACACAGATTAGACAAACAATTGGCAATTGATTTCATCATCAAAATCCGAGATTCAACAAAATGCTAATCTTAAAGAGTTAATAATTAGAGACACATTAAAAGGAGTTCAAACTCGTTCTTCTCTTAAAAATTTTTGTGCGAATGTAGTTTTTTTTATCTCAAATTGAACCTAAATGCATTGACAAGGTCTTGAAAGATTATTCATCGATTATTGCAATGCATGAGAAATTAAATTAATTTGAGAGAAATAAGGTGTGGAAGCTTGTTCCTAGACCTAGTGACTATTTGGTAATTGGTACTAAATGTGACTTTAGAAAAAAGTAAGATGAACTTGGTATCATAATTAGAAACAAGACTAGATTAGTGGCCAAATGTTTCAACCAAGAAGAAGGTATCGATTATGAAAAATTCAACCAAGAAGAATGTATCAATTATGAAGAAACCTTCGCTCTTGTGGCTAGACTTGAAGCCATAAGGATTCTCCTTGCCTATGCTAGTTGTAATAATTTTAAGTTATTTCAAATGGATGCTAAAAGTAATTTTCTTAATGGCTTTATTTCCATAGAAGTTTATATAGAACAATCTCCTGGATTTGAGAATGCTAACTTTCTGAATCATATGTTTAAGTTGACTAAGGCACTCTATGGATTAAAATAAGCCCTTAGGGCTAGGTATGAGAGGCTTAGTTCTTTTCTTATTCAAAATAATTTTATGAAAGGTAAGGTCGATACTACATTGTTTATTAAATATTTTAAAATAATTTTCTCATTATCCAAATTTATATTGATGATATCATTTTCAATTTTTCAAGTGAAACTTTATGTGAATCATTTGCTAAAAATATGAGTCAATAGTTTGAAATGAGCTTAATAAGCAAATTAACTTTTTTCCTAGATTTACAAATCAAACAACTTAGTTATAGAACTTTTGTTAATCAAACTAAGTATGCATTAGATATATTAAAACGGTTTAATATGGACAATGCTAAGGCTATTAATACACCAATGAGCACTTCTACAAAATTAGATATGGACATTAATGGAGAATATTTTGATCAAAAGACTTATAAGGGTATGATATGTAGTTTATTATACCTTACAGCAATTAGACTCGATATCATGTTTAGTATTAGACTATGTGCTAGATTTCAATCTAATCCTAAGCAATCTCAATTAAAAGCTATTAAAATAATTTTTAGATATTTAAAAGGAACTCATAATCTAGGACTGTGGTATCCAAATTCTAAAAACTTTAAGTTACTTGTTTATATTAATGCTAATTTTGCTAGTTGTCAAATAGATAAAAAAAAGCACATCGATTATATATCAACTCTTAGGTCATGCACTTATCTCTTAGTCTTCTAAGAAACAAAACTCAATTGCATTATCTACGACCAAAGATGAATATATAGCAGCAAGTGCATGTTGTGCACAAGTTATCTAGATGAAAAATACTTTAGAAGATTATGAAATTCACTTGAAAAATATACCTATAAAATGTGATAATACTAGTGCAATATGTTTAACAAAAAATCCTATTTAATACTCTAGAACTAAATATATCGATATTAGGCATCATTTTATAAAAGATCATATTAATAACCATGACATATCTCTAGAATTTATTGATACAAAATATCAATTAGCTGATATTTTTATAAAACCATTGATTGAGGAATAATTTGATTTTATTAGAAGAGAATTAGGTATGTTAAATATTCTGAATACATAAATTCCTTTATACATTTTTTGACTTTCTCGGTTGAATTTTCCTTTTAAATTATTTTCTTATTTTTCATGTGATGATCATGAGTCCTTCCTCTTTCTATTTGCAAAGGAGGAGCCATGATTCATAGATTTTTAGATTAATGACTTGATCTTTTATGTAATAATCAATTCCTATGAATCCTTCTTCCTTCTATTTACAAGAAAAAGATTTGATTCATAAATTTTTTAGTATGTACATCTAAAGCAATAATGCTAGCTTGCCCATTTCAAAAAGCAAAAGGAATTATCTTGCAAAGTGTTTGCTTAACTTCTCATTTCATAAATTTGCTAGCTTGCATAAATTAGTGGAAAACTTAAATAGTTTAAAATATTTGCATAAATTATTGAATGATTCTCCCTTTTGTTGATGACAAAGAAGGAGAAATGATGAATGAATGGTATCATGACCAAAATATTGATTTAATTTTGGTATCATGCATGAAGTGATAAATGCTTACAATTTTAATATCTTAGCATCATGTATGTTATGTCCAAAATGATATTAATTTTGGTATCATGAATGCTTTAGTATCATGTATGTTATGCCCATAGTGATATTGATTTATTTTTGATATCATGCATGAAGTGAGGATGGAATGTAATGTTTTGAAATTGTGCATGTCTCAATTTGAAACTATAATGATGCACAACATATGAAATTTTGATATGATATATTGCATTTGATCACTATGATTGAAAGTGTTTAACTTAAATTCAAAGATTGTGATTCCTTTTGAATTCAAGTTTACCTTATCTCAATATGACATATAGATAGGGGGAGTTAAGGTTAACTCCGTCATCAATTGGTTATCATCATCAAAGAGGGAGAGATTGTTGAATCTCAGATTTTGATGATGAAATCAATTGATAAATTATTGATCTAATCCAAGAGATTGTTGCAGGATTAACTATGATAATAAATAAGGCATAAAGCAAATGTTGGGCCGGAGTCAAAGATCGGACGATACATCAAAAATTCGGATGATGTGCCGGAAGCTTGCCAAGAGTTTATCGGGAGCTCGCTGAGAGTTCGTTGAGAGTTCGCTGAGAGTTTGTCGGGAGTTTGCTAAGAATTTATCGGGAGTTCTCCAAAAGCTTACCGAGATTTCATGGAAGTTCATCGAGGTTTCGTCGGAAGAACAATTGACACAACAGACAAAGATTACTTAGGTAATGCCTTAATTGTCATAGTTAAGTCTTAATTTAAGTTAGGTTTGGGAGAAACCCTACTAACTCAGATAAGGGCCAATTGGGCCCAAATTAGGATTGAATTGAGCTTGCTATTTAGCCCATTCAGTGACCCAAAGCCACGTTAGGCGGTGGCATTGCTTGAGACTCGGTCTCCTAAGTGGTCTAGGCGATGGTATCATCGATAGTTAATGCTGTCAAGTGGTGGTACCACCTTGTTAGGCCGTGGTACCATCAGAACTCAGTCTCCGAGGCTTTGTCAAGTGGTGGTATTGTCAAAGCCCAGTCTCCGAGGCTTTGTCAAGCGGTAGTATCACCAGACTAGATGATGGTACTGCTTAGTGTCAGTTTGTAGGTGGTAGTAACGCCCAGTAATGGCGGTGGTACCACTAGTACCCTAGAAATTCGAGATGAGAAACTTTTTAACTCCAATTTTGAAGTCATTGGGGCCTATAAATTCCCCACTCTTTTCTGCATAAAAGGGCAACAAAGTGTGAACAAAAATCTTAAAGTGTTGGGGTGTGAAAGTGTTGTAAAAGTGCTAAGTGTCCTCCTATATTTCTAAGTCTTGTGATCATTCAAGTGAGGTGTGAGGCTTGTAAGGGTTATCACATAAACCCGTGAAAAGGAGATAGTGTTGTAAGAGGGTGGTTGGTCTTTGCCCATTAAAGGAAGACCATAAGTGAACGCCGATGACATCGCCGGAAGAGGAATCGAAAATAAACGTAGGTCACAACGACCGAACCATTATAAGTTGATGTGCTTTCTTTCTTCGCTGCTATTTACTTACTTTGAAACTACTTTACTTCCTCATTACTTTAGCTGCACACTTTTACGAACGTTTCTAAAGTTAAACACCTTTTGATACAGTTTTCATTAAATGTAATTTTTTAAAATCGACGTTGTTTTTCACGTACGTACTAATTCACCCCCTTTTAGTGTCGACTCAATTCTAACAGATGTATCATGTAAAAGTTTTAAAAGACCTCTCACGTTTAGAATTTTAGAATGTTAAGTTAGTTTTACGATGATATGAACTTATGATAAATCATTGGAGTTCTGATTGTATAAATTCTTATGCTTGAGGATTTATAAATAGGATTAGTATTTTATTAAGTTAGTTTGAATTTTCATAAATGTTTGAGTGATGTGATGTATGATTTTAAACTATACAAAATTTTTATGGATGTGAATTTTATCTCGAATATTTCTTAATATTATCAAATATTAGTTTGGATTATAAATTTAATTGTTAATGAATTATAATATTCATATTTAAGATAGATTTATAATATGATAATTCGGGAGGAGTAAAAAAAGTACAAGTTCAATCGGTTGAAAAGAAAGTTATTGAAGATATTATTTTATATATTATCAATTGTATAATTATAAATTTAACGAAGGAATTTTTCACTTAGTTGCCCAGCTAACATAGCATCTCTGGTAGACTATTTGTCATGTTCGGAAATTAACATGATATTAGACATTACGTTCTACGTATCATTTCCAATAAAAAACCTGTGTGCACGTGTCAACTCTGTCTCCGAATGATCAAAAGATAATTACCATCGCATGTATATCAAATCATGTACAGATATTTATACACAATGTCTACAACTACCAATTGCATCTATTTTCTCCGTCTTAAACCTTACGTGATAAGGAAACTGGAATCGGAGCTCCGTTATCGGCTTAATAGAGTATGGACACAGTTGCTGATCCGGAGGAACCGAGATCCGACCCAATAGAGATTTGATCCGTTTTCACTCGCTGGAACGACGCTGAACCCTCGCGATAAAACCCTAACACAACAACGGAGACTGACGAGAAGGAATCGATCCAGCGGAGGAGCAATGAAGGTGGTGGCACTGGTGAGCGGCGGCAAGGACAGCTGCTATGCGATGATGCGATGCATCGATTACGGGCACGAGGTCAGTCTATTCGGTCACCTCGGTCGAATTCCTGATGAGTTGTTCTTTCACAAGTTTGATGGGCCTTCCGTTGATATGCAGATCGTTGCCTTGGCCAATCTCATGCCCCTGGATGATTCGGTGGACGAGCTCGATAGCTACATGTATCAAACTGTAAGCCTCTGCTATGTGGTACTTCATGTTTGGTTCTTATTTATTCCTTTCCCCTTTCATTGGTTCTTGCTTTGGTGCTGCGCCGCTCGCAGAATGCATCCTCAGTTTTTCGTGTTTTGTAAATGATGCTACTTGATTGGATCTCGTCATAGTAGAGTTTGATTTAGTTGCTCGGATTTTTAACCTGTGAACTTTGAGTTATGTGAAGTTCATATTTTCTTCGTGAGAAATGAATTTAAAGCAACTTGAGGGTTTGATGTTATAGCAAATAAACTCAAAAGTCAGTTTTGGAAATGTATGACCTAATGCAAAGATATTCTAGTAACATTTTATTCAATATTTCTGTTGCTAGGGTTGGATTTCTGTCATGATAAAAGGTTGTTATATCACATGAAAAGGTCTGGAATCCTTTGTCCATGGTACTTGGTCAACCTCTATTGTAGTTGAAAGCGGTGGTTTGAAACAAGTTTTTGTGGACCACCTTAGGCGTAATTTTTTTTATTTTTTTGCTTTTACTTTTTTTCTGTTTTTCTAACAGAGGAACACTTAGGCATGTTGATGTTAGATTTAAGAGGGTTCTGTCCACAAATGCTGTTCCGTTGACACTGGCTGTAATCTTGTATGATGGATATACTGTATTTTCTGTCCACTGTTGTTTCAAATTAGCTTATATCTCAAAGTTCTTTTGATACATTTGCCATTCTATTAGGTTGGACATCAGATAGTAGTTGGTTATGCAGAATGCATGGGATTACCATTGTTCCGAAGGAGGATACGAGGATCCACAAGGTGTGTGCTATCTGGGCTTATTCTCTTTATATATGTGTGTGTGTGTGTGTGTGTGTGTGTGTGTGTGTGTGTGTATATATATATATATATATATATATATATATATATATATATATATATATATATATATATATATA